GACTATCAATGGAACTTCTCCAAAAAAAAGGCAGCCTTTCACTATCAAAGTTCCCTTGTTATTTTTTTTTTCCATTTCGTTGTCATACGGCTGCTTAGAAGACAAGCAACAACAAGAAACAGCATGACTTTTATACGGTCCTTCTCTTGTTGTGAAGAGAACATAGGAAAACAGCATTGATATTATATTTTCCAAGTTTGATGGAGAATTGACTGGGTGGGTGTAATCAAATCAAAGGATGAGTGTAGGTTTTGAAAAACTCAAGGGAAAAGTATTCAAGCAATGCAGAAAACTAAGCACAAGGAAAGTGCAGAGAACTAACTACTATATCCACTCCTTCTTTATATTTGTTCTGCACAAGGTTGGGAGTTGAGATTCATTGGGTTTCCGAGCTAACTCCAAGCTTCCTACTAGAAACTGAGATAGATAAAAGAAGAGGAAGAAGAAGAAGAAGCAGAATGGTTATCATGTTGCTTTCCCATATTACTCTGTTTACTCTGTTCTGGTGGTCTATGAGTAGTCCAGTACTAGCACAACTACCCATATCAAGGCCTAACTGTCAATCGAATTGCGGGGGCGTTGAAATCCCATATCCTTTTGGAATTGGAACAGGTTGTTACATTAACGACAGCTGGTTCCAAATAATGTGTGACAACTCTACTGGAAATCCGAAACCTTTCTTGAACCGTACCAATCTGGAGGTGCTAGAAATTTCAGTGGAAGAAGGCACATTAAAGGTCAGAAACCCAATCACCTTCTCTAATTGCAGCAACAAGCCAATCAGCCGCCAAACAGCCAACTTGGAGGGAACGCCTTTTGCATATTCCCAGAAGAACATATTCACTGCAGTTGGTTGTGGTGTTATGGCCATGATCACCTCAAACTCAAATGGCGACACCATATCAAGTGGATGCAAGTCCGAATGCAATAATAGTAGCGGGCAAAATAGCTGCCAGACAGCCCTCCCTTCATTTCTCTTTGCCTTCAATACCAGTTTCCAGTTTTATGAAAATCAACCACAGAGTTCATGCAATTACGCATTCTTGGCTGACCGTGATTGTTCGCCAACAATTCAACGAACTTTTCTGCCATCAGAGAAATGGAAAATGTTCCGGTGGTGCTAGAATGGAGCTTATTTCACTCCACAACCGATGTGTATGGAACCTTTTTGGAAGTAAATGCAACGATGAACTCATTCCGGCCTTTTTGTGACACCTACAATGACAGCTATTCCATAAATGAATCCTTAAGGCTTAAATGTTCCTGCGGAGGAGGCTATGAAGGAAATCCCTATCTTCTTGAAGGATGTCAAGGTAAACCTCTAACACCATTGTCCATGCTTTACAGAAATAATCTCTAATGGCAGGTGATCTTACCATAATTTTAATTTTTTCTGTTACATATTAATCCAGACATCAACGAATGCGAGCTTCCCAACCGGGACTGTTTTGAACCCAACATATGCATAAATTTTAATGGGGGTTATGGATGCTCCCCCCCACCGAAGAGCAACTCGCAGGTTAAAGTCATCTTTATAGGTATGCCCCTGCACTACAAAGTCTACTCCCTCTGATATAATAATGCATAATCTAGAATTGCCGAGATGATTAGATTAATGGAAGAGAAACCATATAACAATTCCCAAAAGCATAATGAAACTGGACATAATCCAGAGATTGAGATCTTAGCAGCATCTCCTCCACTAGTTCTCCTTCAGAGAAAAAAAAAAGTAAAAAAAAAGTAAAAAAGTTTTGGTTATACATGTAATAGCAAACAATATCTACTTGACCAAGTTATCCTTTCTTATTTTGTTGAATTGTTCAGGTCTCGGCAGTGGTCTTGGATTCTTGTTTCTGCTCGTTGCTTCTTGGTAGTTGTACAAAGTCATAAAGAAAAGAAAAGCCATTAAACAGAAGGCAAAGTTATTTAAACAAAATGGTGGTTTACTGCTGGAGAAACAATTGTCTTCTGGTGAAGTAAATGTTGAGAAGATTAAGTTGTTCAATTCAAAGGAGTTAGAGACAGCCACAGACCATTTTAATGTAGATAGAATTCTTGGCCAGGGAGGCCAAGGTACTGTTTACAAAGGAATGTTGACAGATGGAAGAATTGTTGCTGTAAAGAAGTCTAAAGTAGTTGATGGAGGTGAAGTTTCACAGTTCATTAATGAAATTGTCATTCTTTCACAAATTAACCACAGGAATGTGGTTAAGCTCATGGGTTGCTGCTTGGAGACCGAAGTTCCTCTTTTGGTTTATGAATTCATTCCCAAAGGGACTATCTACCAGTACCTCCATCAACAAAATGAGGAGTTTCTACTAACATGGAAAATGCGCTTAAGGATTGCGGCTGAAGTTGCAGGAGCTCTTTCATACTTACACTCAGCAGCGGGTTTTCCAATTTACCACAGGGACATCAAGTCTACAAACATACTCTTAGATGAAAAGTACAGAGCAAAAGTTGCAGATTTTGGGACTTCAAGATCAGTTTACATTGAGCAAACACACCTTACCACAATAGTACATGGAACATTCGGTTACTTGGACCCAGAGTAGTGATAAACAGAGTACACAATCATAGGTGCAAATACACAGCAAATCCAATGCATACAATCTCCAGCTCAGCAATATTCTAGAAGAGAAGGAACTTACTAGTCATATATCCATCCTACACCTGTCATCATCTCCATATTCTTTGTAACCAATTCTATTCCAGATTATTCTTTTCAAGTGTATATAAACAGTGGTACTCTCACTGTACAAGTATCAATGAAATATACAATTCCAACCTTTCTTTTACTCTGTTCTTAATTCTTCACAAGTACTTCCAATCAAGTCAATTTACAGATAAGAGCGATGTGTATAGCTTTGGAGTTGTTCTTGTTGAGCTCTTGACTGGAGAAAAGCCGGTTTCTTTAGCAAGGTCATCAGAAGCCAGAGGCCTAGTTACATATTTCAATTTTGCAATGGAGGAGAACCGTCTGCTTGATATTGTTGATGCTCGAGTTAAGGAGGAGGGTGTAACGGAAGACATTTTGGCAGTTTCTACCCTTGCAAAGAGATGCTTGGAGTTAAGTGGAAAGAGACGACCTGGGATGAAAGAAGTGGCAATGGAGTTGGAGGGGATTCAAAAATCAGTTAAGGCTTCTAATCTGCAACAAAAGCAGGAAGAGGTTGAATATGTCCGAAATGAAGTAACTGGTGACTGTCCTTGGGATGTTGCATCTGAATCAACAGGATCAGGTTTGGAGGGTGTTATTTCTTCATCAAAAGATTCATTGCCACTATTATCTTTGTAATCACGATGAACAAGAATCCTCCATGCAATTAAGCTTCTTAGCATTTATTATATGTTTTTTTGGAGATTTTCCGGTGTATTTTTTGAAACAAGAATTCATCTTGAGATTTTCTATTTTCTTAAAATGATTTTGTACAATGATTTCCCGGTAATAATTTATGTGTTTTGATTTTGAGGTTTTAATTTGCTGTGCAATTCCCACCACCTACTTGGTTGAAACAATTTTGTCACGTGGCCCTTAAAAAAAAATTATCTTCTACCTCGGCAGCCTAATTATTCACATGGAACTTTCAAAGTACACTTAGCAAATAATTTTCAAAGTTACAGAGGAAGCAGCAGGCTCCAAAGATGACCGGTATACTTGCTCATATAAACCTTTTCTTATCTTCCTTGAAAGTTCAACGCATCATCAAAATAGTTTCGCACTAAGATTTAGTATAAGCTTTTAGGAACAGGCACAAGTTTGGCCAAAGAATTACAGAAAAAGATCTAGTTTTCTATGTGCTTCAGCATTGTTATATCGGCCTCCTTTTCTATACGCTTCCATCAGAGCCGCATGAGATGTTACCTTCTCAGCGCCGTTGAAGTGCCTTGCTTTCCATAAGCTTTTATAAGCATCAGGAAATCCATTTGCTGAAGTGCCACCAATTCTGAGTTTGGAACCATTCAAGAATCTATAATATAAATTTTGACTTAGCCTCCAAGCAAGAAGAAGAATTTCGAGAAAGCCATGTACTTTGTATCCTGAGGTTCACAAGTCTTCCTTGAATATTATTAGAAATTAGTGTAGAGAAGGAAGGTGGAAATAACTCTCTGAACACAATATATAAAAGAACTTTTCTTTTAGTTCTATTCTTAAAAAGCCTGAGACTTGAAAATCATTTGTTTTTCTAGCTATAACTCCAAGCTTCCTACTAGTCAGAGTATAGGAAATTGTAAGGAAAAAGCAGAGCAATGGATTTTGTCCTGTTTCTATATCATTTCATTTCACTCTATTCCAAGTTTGATTGAGATTGACTGTTAATCAAAATCAAATCAAAGGATGAGTGTAGGTTTATAAAAGAAATATTTTTTAAAGCAGGAAAGAAAGAGAAAAGGTTTGGCATTCTAGAATGCCATATAAATTTCAAAGAGACAAGTCAGACCAAGTACAATACCGTTTCCTTTGATCTGGTATGAAATGAAGAGATCCAAGCACAAGGAAAGTGCAGAGAACCAACTGCTTTCTCTACACCTTCTTTATATTTATTCTGCGGAAGATTGGGAGTTGAAAATCATTGGCTTTGCTAGCTAACTCCAAGCTTCCTACTAGAAACTGCAGATATATAGGTAAAAAATAGAGGAAGAAAAAGCAGAATGGTTGTCCAGTTGCTTTCCCATATTACTCTGTTTAGTCTGTTGTGCTGGTCTATGAGTAGTCCAGTACTAGCACAACCACCCATATCAAAGCCTAACTGTCAATCGAATTGCGGCGGCATTGAAATCCCATATCCTTTTGGAATTGGAACAGGTTGTCACATTAATGACAGCTGGTTTCGAATAATGTGTGACAACTCTACTGGAAAATCGATACCTTTCTTGAATCGTGCCAGTCTGGAGGTGCTAGAAATTTCAGTGGAAGAAGGCACATTAAAGGTCAGAAACCCAATCACCTTCTCTAATTGCAGCAACAAGCCAATCAGCCGCCAAACAGCCAACGTGGAGGGAACCCCCTTTGTATATTCCCAGAAGAACATATTCACTGCAGTGGGTTGTGGTGTTATGGCCACAATCACCTCAAACTCAAATGGCTACATTATTTCAAGTGGATGCAGTTCCGAATGTAACATTTCAACAAATAGGAGTGATACCTGCCAGGCAGCCCTCCCTTCATCTCTCTCTGCCTTCAGTACCAGTTTCCAGGATTATGGAAATTATAGTACACGGAGTTCATGTCACTACGCATTCTTGGCAGACCGTGATTGGTTTGGCAATAATTCCACAAACTTTTCTGCCATCAGAGAAATGGACTATGTTCCGGTGATGCTAGAATGGAGCTTATTTCACTCCACAACCGATGTGTATGGAACCTTTTTTAAACCAAATTTCACGATTGGATCTTCTGGCCCAGGCCGTGCTTATTGTCTAAGCTACAATGACAGCTCTTCCATCAATGAATCCTCGAGGCTTGAATGTTCCTGCCCAGGAGGCTATAAAGGAAATCCCTATCTTCTTGACGGATGTCTAGGTAAACCTCTAACACCATTATACATGCTTTATAGAAATAATCTCTAATGGCAGTTGATTTTACCATCAATTTAAATTTGTTTGAATACATATTAATCCAGACATCAACGAATGTGAGCTTCCCGACCGGCACTGTTCTGAACACTTCATATGTGTGAATTCGGCTGGGGGCTACGGATGCTACCCGCCAAAGAGCAACTCGCAGGTTAAAGTCATCTTTATAGGTATGCCCCTGCACCACAAAGTCTACACCCTCTGATATAAGAATGCATAATCTAGAATTGCCAAGATGATTTGGATTAATAGAAGAGAAACCATATAACAATTCCCAGAAGCATAATGAAACTCAACATAATCCAGAGATTGAGATCTTAGCATCTGCTCCACTAGTTCTCCTTCATAAAGGAAAAAAAAAAGTAAAATAGTTTTGGTTATATATGTAATAGCAAGCAATATCTACTTGACCAAGTTGAAGTTATCCTTTCTTATTTTGTTGAGTTGTTCAGGTATCGGCAGCAGTCTTGGATTCTTGTTTCTGCTCATCGCTTCCTGGTGGTTGTACAAAGTCATAAAGAAAAGAAAAGCCATTAAACAGAAGGCGAAGTTATTTAAACAAAATGGTGGTTTACTGCTGGAGCAACAATTGTCTTCTGGTGAAGTAAATGTTGAGAAGATTAAGTTGTTCAATTCAAAGGAGTTAGAGACAGCCACAGACCATTTTAATGTAGATAGAATTCTTGGCCAGGGAGGCCAAGGTACCGTTTACAAAGGAATGTTGACGGATGGAAGAATTGTTGCTGTAAAGAAGTCTAAAGTAGTTGATGGAGGTGAAGTTGCACAGTTCATCAATGAAATTGTCATTCTTTCACAAATTAACCACAGGAATGTGGTTAAGCTCCTGGGTTGCTGCTTGGAGACCGAAGTTCCTCTTTTGGTTTATGAATTCATTCCCAAAGGGACTATCCATCAGTATCTCCATCAACAAAATGAGGAGTTTCTACTTAAATGGCAAATGCGCTTAAGGATTGCAGCAGAAGTTGCAGGAGCTCTTTCGTACTTACACTCAGCAGCGGGTTTTCCAATTTACCACAGGGACATCAAGTCTACAAACATACTCTTAGATGAAGAGTACAGAGCAAAAGTTGCAGATTTTGGGACTTCAAGATCAGTTTCCACTGATCAAACACACCTTACCACAGTAGTACATGGAACATTTGGTTACTTGGACCCGGAGTACTTCCAATCTAGTCAATTTACAGATAAGAGCGATGTGTATAGCTTTGGAGTTGTTCTTGTTGAGCTCTTGACTGGAGAAAAGCCGGTTTCTTTAGCAAGGTCACCAGAAGTCAGAGGCCTAGTTGCATATTTCAATTTTTCAATGGAGGAGAACCGTCTGTTTGATATTGTTGATGCTCAAGTTAAGGAGGAGGGTGTAACGGAAGACATTTTGGCAGTTGCTACCCTTGCAAAGAGATGCTTGGATTTAAGTGGAAAGAGACGACCTACGATGAAAGAAGTGGCAATGGAGTTGGAGGGGATTCAAAAATCAGTTAAGGCTTCTAATCTGCAACAAAATCAGGAAGAGGTTGAATATGTCCGAAACGAAGTAATTTGTGACTGTCCTTGGGATGTTGCATCTGAATCAACAGGATCAGGTTTCGATGGCGGTACTGCTTCATCAAAAGATTCATTGCCACTACTATCTTAGTAATCACAGGGAACAAGAATCCTCCATTCAATCGGTGCATTACCAATCTTCGCTTTTAGGTTCCCTGTAGAACTTTTTTATTTTTATTTTCTGATTTTGTTCAATATTATGTTCTCTTTTTTATGTCCCTGGGGTAATACTATTGATGTGTTTGACAGTTTTAGGTTTCTCTAAACTCCAAACTACAGTTCTATTCTCCACTTCTCTGTGGTTTCTATTTGCTTGGTAATTAATTTCCACCACCTACTTTTGTTGAATAAATCTGTTTACTTATCTAAAGAAAAATTTTCACTTGGCCTTCAAAAAAAAAAGGGACATTTTGGAAAAAGCAAAAGGGGAGAGAAAAATTTTAAAAGAAGCAAAAATGGACAAAAATGCCCTTATTTATTTTTAGATTTCCTAAAGAATCCAATACATTTGCATGTCTTTGATTTGAAAGTTGAGTGGTTTTTTTGTCTTTTTTGAAAAAGTTTTGGCTTTTTCCAAAAGTGAAATTTTTTTTATGTGTAAAACCTAAAAAACCTAAAAAAAAAATTACCTTTTTACTTTGACTTCGAATGGAAAGGTCAAAGGGCACTAGCTAGGGAAATAATTTTCACCGTGTGAGTAGTCTGGTAACACTTCCGTGAGACACAAGTTTGCTATTACAGTAATATAGTCCCATAAGAAGGATTTTCAGCGGTTTTACTCTTTGATCTATAACCTTAATCGAACTTAACACTCTGAACTAACTTTTCAGTCAATTTAGCATCTAAACTTATATAAATAGCTAATTTAGCCCAATTTTTTCGAATTTCATCTACTATTCCGATTAAAAAGTCACATGCTTGGCACATGACTTATTATTTTAATTTTTTTAAATAAATTATTATAAAGCTAATATTTGAACAATTAAAAAATCTCATTTTCTCCACTTACACTCTCTTTTGCTTTTAATACTCTTTAATTAATTTTATTCTTTTTTATTCTCTCTCTTTTCTATTCTACCCTTCCCCTATTCTCCATGTTTCTCTCTCTTCCCCACTCTCTCTGTTTCGACAGTGAGCGAAGAGCCCCATTCTCCCCAATATTTAAATTTGTGGACCTTGACCTACATGCCTGCTCCATCCACCACACCACCATGACCACCTCCACCTCTAAAGTCACCGGTCGACTAGTTCCTCCTTAAATCGTTCGATGATTTCAAACCATCGTCCCAACCCCCATAGTTCCCGGAATTCCCACCCCTGCTGTTTCCGACGCCATGGGCCAGAGGCGGCTTTGATTTCCCTAATCCTAGGCTCTCCTTCACGACTGGTGGGTTGTTTTGTCGATTTCCCAAATCCGACGACAAAACAAGAAAATGTCGCACTCCGAACGTGACATCGTTTCACTCCACCCCTTGTCTCACAAATACATCCACGAGATCGAAAAACTATCAACCCAGAGTCCAATCCCGCCTTCTGAGAGTCCCCGGGTTGTGGATTTTCTGGGTTCTAATCTCGCCAGCTTCCACGAGATTGAATAATGTGTTTTCTGGTTTTCTGGGTTATTGTATAACCTTCATGAATACAGTAGTGGGAGAGAGGAAAAGCTGGGGAGGGGGGAAATTCTCAACATTTGCGGTTGATGATTTTAACTTAATTGAATTTTCATTAACGCTCGGCTTGCTTGCTTTCAACTTCTTCCGCCTTGGCTATGTGATCACTTGTATCAGCATCATTGAATGATTGCTCTGTTGTTCATGGTTATTAATTTGTATTTTCTCTGGGTAATTGGAAGAGAGAGATGGGGCAAGAGATTTTTCCTAGGATTTTATAGGGTAAGGAAGGGAGGGAGAATGGGGAATTTTTTATTATAATGTCATACTATTTTTCTTATTTTTTATTATCTATTTTCTTTTTGCCTGATTTATTTATTATTTATTTTACTTGAAATTACAATTTTAACCTTACAAAAAGAAAAATTGGATGAAATTCACAAAATTTAACGGCAATGACTAAATTAGTCATTTTAATTTATTTGAGTGTTAAATTGACTGACTTTTAATTCGGAGGTTAAGTTCGATTGGAATCCTAGTTCGGAAGGTGTATGGTAATTTACTCTTTAAAAAATGACATATTGCTCGAAACATGTTATGCAAAGACTTGGGATTGCATCAATATATTCACTGTTGTGCAATATTAATTAAAGAAGAACACAAGGAAAGGTGTTTGGTTAGAGCTTTTCCAGCGGACAAGCCCAGCCCGAGGCTGGGGGGGAGAAAAAAAAAAAAGGTGTTCCAGCGGACAGCCCAAGCCCGGGGGAGGTGTGGGACCCACCAAACCTGGGCTGGCCCGAAGACAACTTCTGCCTGAGGTCCAAAACGAGGGGGGTACTG